CAAATAAGCAGGGTAAATCCAAAAAAAGTAACGGGGGTAAATTTCCCCATTTTGAATTTGATTCCCCATAATTTAACCCCACCCCTCTCCCAACACCCTAGCATTTACTTCTTTTAAAACCCCCATCTATAAATATATTAAACAACCAGGAATAAACCCCCAAGAATACAGATTTTCTCACTGTGTTACATTACCATAATCTGCTTTTAAATAACCAGGGTACAATCAGAATACAAAAACATTTAATAAATATTTGCTAATCACAGACACCAGGAAAAACCTGAGTAGTAATTGATTTTTTAAGAAAATACAGTACACTGTATTTCATCTTTCATGTACTCTTCTGTTAATTTTTACCCCTTGACAAAAATTCCATAATGTGATTTACAGAGCATCAACTAATACAAAGAAAAGTAAAAATTCTCAACTCACGCCTCATTTGACAGAATAAAGAGCATGGAGGTTCCTATCACTTCTTGCATATCAGACCCAATGATGGCAATTTCTATCATGATCCAAACCATAAGGCGAGGAACACGTGGTAACAGCGGTAGCAAACCTCAGCCAAGTGTAAGCCAGTCAACTGTACCCAGACGAGCTGAGAGACGCTGCATCACCTAGACCAAGTACAGTTGCCCACATCAGAACCCAAAGAAGCTGTTAAAAATATTTAAAGGAATTAAGTAAATACAGTACTTATAATTCATTAAACAAGTACGTACTGTACAGTACCCTGTATTAATTATACGTATGTGTGTGTATATATATATATACATGTTCATATACAGTGGACCCTCGACTTACAATCAGCTCCCAACTCGAACAATTATGTAAGTGTATTTTTGTTAAGTGTATTTTTGGGGACTGAAACGGACAAATCTAATTTACAAGTATTCCTTATGGGAGCAAATTCGTTCGGTAACGGCACCTGAACACCCTTCTGGAACGAATTAATATCATAAGTCGATGGTCCACTGTATATACTATACATATATATATATATATTTATATATTACAGGTCTCCCTCAACATTCGCGAGGGTTAGGGGATCAAGAGCCTCGCAAATGTTTGAAAAAACCGTGAATGTTTGGTTGCCCCATTATATTGTAGGGAAATATATTACAATACTGCTTCCTTAACTTGTTAAAACCATGAATAATCATAAAATACATGAAAACGTCGTAAATTGACTAATATTCATGTATCTTTAAATAAAAAAATTTTATTTAATAATTTTATGTTAACAAATTTTTTTTAAATAACACGACCCCACCACTGCCTCCCACTCGAAATCCCTACTCCCTCCCCCGCCCCCCGCAACGGCACCAGCCCTCCCCCCCACTCAGTTGGTGATGTTTTTTTTTGTTTTTTAATTTGCTATTAAATACAGAATAAATAATGTAAACTCATCCTGCTGCATTTTGGAAGGGGCATTAAAAAAGGGGAAATTAGACGGTGACACAGTTTTACCTTGAACACTGCAAATAATCAAAAATTTTTTTTTTCCCCCCCATTGCTATTAAAAAAATAAAAAATTAATAAAATAAATAATAATAAAATAATAAATAATAATAATAAAAAAAAATAATAATATATTAGAAATAATAATAAATAGATAAATTAAAGAAGGAAATTGACAAAAAACGGGGGAAAGTGGTTAAAACGCAGGGGGTACTTTTGTTTATGTGGGTGAACATTAGTCTCCCCCCTTTTTCCAAAAATTAAAAAAAAAATTCAGCAGTTAGGCAGGGGGGTATATAAAACAAATTTTTAATAATAAAGTACATTTAATTTTTAAAAATTATATTTTTTAACATTATGTTTTTAAAAAAAATCCCTTTGCCCAAATACTGCCTCTACCACTCCATCCACCAATCTAAAAGCACCAACACAAATTATTGTGAAATTTTTGGAAAAGAGCGGGGAGACTAATTTCACTCCAGCAAAAACAAAGTCACACTGCGAGTGTCAACCACTTACTCTATTTTTTTTACAATTTTTCCTTTTTCAATTAACATATTTATTTTTTTTATTTTTATTATTTTACTACTACTACTATTGTTATTTAGCTGTACAGAAATGTTTTAATTTTTTGCAGGGTTAAAGAGTAAACACATATGTCACCGAAAAACCGTTTTTGATAGCCATTTTCCCTTGCATCATGAATGGGTTTCATTATTTTACTGGTTTAATACAAATAAAATTTTAAAAAACAAAACACCCCCCCCTGGTGGTGGGAGGGCTGGCTGCCAGTTTTCTGGGGTCGGAGGGAGGGAGTAGGGGCCGAGGGGGCGGGAAAAATTTTTAAAAAATGATTTGGGGGGGGGGGGAAATTTGGTGGCTGGGGGAATTTGGCGGTTGGGAATTTGCGAATGTTTGAACCCGTGAAAGGGGTTGAAAACGGAATGTTGAGGGGACCTGTTTGTGTTGGTGTGTGTGTGTGTGTGTGGTGTGTGTGTGTGTGTTATAAATATATATATAATTATATATATTATATATAATTATATATATTTTTATATATATATATATATATATATTAAAATATAATATATATATAAAAATAATACAACATACATACAATTTCAGTAACAGTGGACCCCGCAATGCGACCAATTTTTTTAAGTTATTTATGTAATGCGTTTGACGTTATGTTTGGGGGGGAAAGGACTAAACTACTTTACAATATTCCTTATGGGAACAAATTCGGTCGTACTGGGACCTGAACAAACTTCTGGAAAGAAAAAATAACGTTAACCGGGGGGCCACGTGTAACAGTGGCCCCCGGTTAACGATAAATTTTTTTATTTCCCGAAGTAGTTTAGTTTCCGACTGAAAGAAAAATTTTTTCCCATAAAGGAATATTGTGAAATAATTAGTCCATTTTAACCCCCAAACATACAGTACAAAAGCACTTTCAAAAATCACTTTCATAATTGGTCCATTTGAGGAAAAGATGCGGGGGGGGCCCCTGTAAATTTTAATTTTAAAAATATATATTATAATATATTATTATTTATATAAAATAAAAAATACACCTACCATCCACTTTCACCAGTTTGGTTCCCAAAAAACCGGTCGTAAGCCAAAGGCAATCAACTTTTTCTATGAATATCAACAAAACATTTTTTTAAAAGAATTTTTTTATTTATTTTTTATTTTGGGATTTCATGTTTTACTTTACTTTTTTTGTTGTTAGACTTATTTTATACTGTAAGGTTTGGGATAAACACTGTGTACAACACAAATAGGTGTTTATTTCCCCGAATTGGCTTAAAAACGGTCGTAAAAACGAGTGGTCGTAAGCCGAGCAGGCGTAAGTCGGTTGGGGGGTGTTGTGGTGTTTTAAAATAAATTTTTTAAATTTTAAAAAATTTAAAAATATATATAATAAAAATTATTGTGTGTGGGTTAAAAAAACATTAGTCAGAGGCAGAAGAGGGGTTGTTGGGGGTTTGGTATTTAAAAGAGAATGGATAAAGTAGAATGAATGGAAAACAATAAATCTATAGGGGAAGGAAAGAGGGGGGAGGGGGGCGTCCCCAAAGGGGGTTGGAAAAAGGGGGTAAAGGGGGTTTTGTGGGGGAGGGGGTTGGACTTCCACAAACGTGCAGAGCGGTTAGATAGGAGTGATGGAGCGTTGATACTTGGGACCTGACGATCTGTTGGAGTGGACGGGGTAATATTTAGTGAAGGGATTGGGGGGAAACCGTTATTTTCTTCGTCGGACTTGAGCCTGGAAATGGAAGAAAATGCATGCACTTTAAAGGGGGGGGTTTGGGGGATATTGCAGTTTGGACGGATATGTTGGGTATCTTTAATATATGTTTTTAAAAACTGTTTTTTTCGATCCCCTGCAAAAGCAGTGAAAAAGTGGAGTGTGTGAAAGGTTTTTAAATGATGATGAAAGTTTTTTCTCTTTGGGGTTTTCTTTCTTTTTGGTTTCCCCCTGCCTGGTGGGAACGACCAACTTGTTGAAAAAAAAAAAAAAAAAAAAATTTTAATTTGGGGGGGCCCCCCTGTTTTTTTTAAAAAAATTTTGGTTACTCCGAATTTGTTCCCAAAAAAAGGGGGGAAAGTTTTTCCCCCAAAATAAATTTAAAAAAAAAAACCTAATAATTGGGATTGAGGTAAATTTTGGGGGGTTTTAAATTTTATAAATTTTTTAAAATTAAAAAAAAAATTTTTTTTTTTTAAATTTCCCCAAGGGGGACTAAAGGGGGGTTGGTAAAAAAAAAAATTTCCCAATTCAAACTTTCCCCCCCCCTTTTTTTTTTTTTGGAGGACCCCGTACAAAGTTGGTATGTTTTTAAAAAAACCCCCCTTTGCCAATTCAAACCCCCTTTTAAAAGGCGGTGTTTTTTTGGACTAAGCCGGAAAAAAATTTGATCCCCAAAAATTTTGCCCCCAAAGTGTGGCCCCCAAATAATTTTCCATTATCCAAAAGGGGCCACCAATTGGGGTGGGTAAGTTAAAAAAAAACCCCCCCCCTTTAACCCTTTCGGGAGCCCCCCCCCCCCCCCTTTTTTATAAGATTTAAGCCCGCATTTTTAAATTTCCCTTTAAAAGCCCCCCAAAAAATTTTTTTAAATTTTTTAAACCCCTTTCTTTTCCACCCCCCCCGTTTTCTGAAATTTCCCACACTTCCCTTTAGCGGCCTCCCCTTTTTACCACCCTCCTTTTCTTTACCAAATTAAAAAAAAATTTTTAAACTTTTTTTTCCCTTTCCCTCTTTGTAATTTTTTTCGTTTTTTTGTCCACAATACCTCAACGCACACTCCCCTTTTTTCCCTCATAAATTTCTATGATTAACCCATCCTTCAAAATCCATCCCCCGACAGTCAACCCCCAATTTAAAAATTCACTTCTTCCATACTCCCCCCCCCAATTTATATCCAATTTTTCTTTATCTAAATCGTTTGATACCCTAACCCTATCTTTTCTTGTTTCACTTTCAAATTTTTACCTTTACAACCACTCCCCAAACCATCCCAACCTTGCAATTTTTCTTTAAATCTCCCCTAACACGTATCACACAAAAAGAACTGTGTCAATTCCCATTTTTAATTTGATTCCCCCTAATTTAATCCCACCCCCCTCCCCAACACCCTACATTTTCTTCTTTTACAACCCCACTAAAAAAATATTTTAAAAAACCAGGGACATTACACATCCCCTCAAAACCTAATTTTTTTCCGGAAGTATCTCCCTCTCTTCTACACACCCAAACCCGAGCCTCACTATCCTCATAAAACTCTTTACGCATTTAGTAAAATTGCCACCTATTCCCCAAACTTGCAGCATCTCCACATTGCTCCTCATCCACTCTACCATATGCCCTTTTCTGATCCCTAAATGCATAAAAATTCCCCCCTTAATCTAATACCCGTTGCATATATCTTCAATGTAACACTTACACACACCCCTACCCCCTCTGAAAACCCCTTGCTCATCCGCAAACCCCCATTCTGTCTTTCCTCTAATTCTTTCAATTATAACCCTACCGAACACTTTTCCTGGTGTCTTTTGTTTGTCTCATAAAAAATGCAAGATTACGGGTATGTCTTGCTACTTCTATTTACATTTAGTTCACACTAAACATACATGTACACGTTTTATTTATACACACTCTTCTGAGTTTTTTTTGATTTTATCTTATTCTTGTTCTTATTACTTTTCCTTTTATATCCACGGGGAAGTGGAATAAAAATCTTTCCTCCGTAAGCCATGCGTGTTGTAAAAGTCAACTAAAATGCCGGGAACAATGGGCTAGAAACCCCTTTTCCTGTAATAATTACTAAAAAGAATAAGAAGAAAACTGTCAAAGTGGGAAGTCTGAATGTGCGTGGATGTTGTGCAAATGATAAGAAAGAGATGATTGTGGATGTTATGAATGAGAAGAAGCTGGATGTCCTGGCTTTAAGTGAAACTAAGCTGAACGGGGTGGGTTTGTTTCAGTGGAGTGGAATAAATGGGATTAGGTCAGGGGTTTCTAATAGAGTTAGAGCTAAAGAAGGGGTAGCAAAAATGTTGAAGGATAAGCTATGGCAGGAAAAGAGGGACTATAAATGTATTAATTCAAGGATTATGTGGAGTAAAATAAACGTCAGATGTGAAAAGTGGGTTATAGTAAGCGTATATACACCTGGGGAAGCGAGAAGCATAAAGGAGAGAGAGAGATTTTGGGAAATGTTGAGTGAATGTGTGAGGTGTTTTGAACCAGGTGTGAGAGTACTTGTGGTTGGGGATTTTAATGCTAAAGTGGGTAAAAATGTTGTGGAGGGAGTAGTAGGTAAATTTGGGGCGCCAGGGGTAAATGAAAATAGGGAGCCTTTAATTGAGCTATGTATAGAAAGAGATTTGGTAATAAGTAATACATATTTTATGAAAGAGAGGATAAATAAATATACAAGGTAGGATGTAGCACGTAATGAAAGTAGTTTGTTAGATTATGTATTGGTGGATAAAAGGTTGATGGGTAGGCTCCAGGATGTACATGTTTATAGAGGGGGCAACTGATATATCGGATAATTATGTAGTTATAGCTACAGTTAAAGTAAGAGGTAGATGGGACAAGAGGAAGGTGGCAACAACAAGTAGGAGGGAAGTGAAAGTGTATAAACAAAGGGAGGAGGAAGTTTGGGTGAGACATAAGCGACTAGGGCAAAAGGGGGGCCCTAGTGCAAAGATGAGTAGGGGGGGGGGGTTGTAGAGGGTTGGACAGTTTTAAAAAGCAGTATTAGAATGTGGGGCAGAATTTTGTGGTTTATAGAGGGTGGGGGCAGGAGGAAAGAGGAGTGATTGGTGGAAATGATGAAGTAAAGGGTGTGATAAAAGAAAAAAAGTTAGCTATGAGAGGTTTTTACAAAGCAGAAGTGTTTATAAGAAGGCAGAGTATATGGAGATTAACAAAAGGTGAAGAGAGTGGTGAAAGAGTGCAAAAGGAGAGCAGATGAATAGAATGGGAGAGGCACTGTCAAGAAATTTTGAATGAAAATAAGAAAAAATTTTGGATGAGTAAGCAAGTTAAGAAAGCCTAGGGAACGTATGGATTTGTCAGTTAAAAAACAGAGTGGGGGAGTTAGTAGATGGGGAGAGGGAGGTTTATTAGGTAGATGGAGAGAATATTTTGAGGAATTTTTAAAAATTTGAGGAAAAAAGGGAGGCGGTAATTTCATGCACTGGCCAGGGAAGTATACCATCTTTTAGGAGTGAAGAAGAGCAGAATGTAAGTGTGGGGGAGGTACGTGAGGCATTACGTAGAATGAAAGGGGGTAAAAGCAGCTGGAACTGATGGGATCATGACAAGAAATGTTAAAAGCAGGGGGGGATATAGTGTTGGGGTGGTTGATACTTTTCTTTAATAAATGTATGAAAGAGGGGAAGATACCTAGGGATTGGCAGAGAGCATGTATTGTCTCTTTATATAAAGGGAAGGGGAACAAAAGAGATTGAAAAAATTATAGAGGAATAAGTTTACTGGTAAACACAATAACCCGAACATAAAAGAGAGAAGCTTATTGTGACTTTGTAAATGGTCCAAGTCGGACCGAAACTTCGTCGTAAGCTTCTCTCTTTTATGTGTGGGTTATTTGTGTATCGTTCCAGTCACAGTATTGTGCCTTTTTTTGTTATTTACTGAGTATACCAGGAAAAGTGTACGGTAGGGTTATAATTGAAAGAATTAGAGGTAAGACAGAATGTAGGATTGCAGATGAGCAAGGAGGTTTCAGAGAGGGTACAGGATGTGTAGATCAAGTGTTTACATTGAAACATATATGTAAACAGTATTTAGATAAAGGTAGGGAAGTTTTTATTGCATTTATGGATTTAGAAAAGGCATATGATAGAGTGGATAGGAGAGCAATGGGGCAGATGTTGCAAGTATATAGAATAGGTGGTACGTTACTATATGCTGTAGAGAGTTTTTATGAGGATAGTGAGGCTCAGGTTAGGGTGTGTAGAAGAGAGGGAGACTACTTCCCGGTAAAAGTAGGTCTTAGACAGGGATGTGTAATGTCACCATGGTTGTTTAATATACAGTGGTCCCTCGCTTTTCGTAGTTCTCGGCAATCGTAAATTTCGCCAGTCATAGGGGGATTTTCGTAAAAAACATGGACTCGCTTCTCATAGGTTGACTCGCGAATAGTAGTTCGTCCAGGACGCTTACGCACGGTGTGAGCCGGGGAGGCCTCCCTACCCCGCCAGTCTGGGAATTGTTTACCCGTGAGTGAAGGTCCCCTCAAGTGCTCCTACGAAATATTTCATAATATTCCACTCATTTTAGTGCTTGCAAGTACTAAATAAACTACCATGGCTCCAAAAGAAAGCTCCTAGTGCCAAGCCTGTGGTAAAGAGGTGAAAATATGTACAGTGACAAAGTCTTGTACCATTTTAGGAAGTGTTAAAGAGACGCCAAAAAACAGAGCTCCCCCCACAGTTACTTTGCGAGACAGGACTAGAGTGACTCTCAGGTGGGCCCCAGTGGTATTAAGAAACAGAGAAGAGAAGCAACCCCAGAGAAGCAAAATTTGGTACCTGAGGTGTTGCTGGAAGGGGATTCCCCTTCCAAACTGTAAACAATCCAATTTTCTCTCCCTCCGGTCTCCCATACACTAAGAAGAATCTCCAATAAAGGTAATGTTGTGCTGTTAATGTTTCATTCATCTTTTCCCATTGTATTGTTTATGTACTACATGTATATTTCATGTAAAAAAATTTTTTTGTTTTTAATACTTCTGAGTGTCAGAAACGGATTAATTGTATTTACATTATTTCTTATGGGGATAATTGATTCGTAAATATAAATTTCGTTTATAGTAGCTCCTCCAGGAACGGATTAATTACGAAAATGAGGAACCACTGATTTAAAGATGGGGCTGTAAAAGAATAAATGCTAGGGTGTTCGGGAGAGGGGTGGGATTAAATTATGGGGAAACAAATACAAAATGGGAATTGACAGTTACTTTTTGCTGATGATACTGTGCTTTATGGAGATTCTAAAGAAAAATTGCAAAGGTTAGTGGATGAGTTTGGGAGTTGGTGTAAAGGTAAAGTTGAAAGTGAACATAGAAAAAGAGTAAGGTGATGGGGTATAAAATGATTCAATAAAGAAAAATTGGATATCAAATTGGGGGAGGATATGGGAGAAGTGATGTTTTCAGATACTTGGGAGTTGACGTGTCGGCGGATGGATTTATGAAGGATGGGGGTTAATCAATAGAATTGATGATGAAAAAAGGTGAGTGGTGCGTTTTAGGTATATGTGGAGTCAAAAACGTTATCTATGGAGGCAAAGAAGGAATGTGTGAAAGTATAGTAGTACCAACACTCTATATGGGTGTGAAGCTTGGGTTGTGAATGCAGCAGCGAGAAGGCGGTTGGAGGCAGTGGAGATGTCCTGTCTAAGGGCAATGTGTGGTGTAAAAAATTATGCAGAAAATTAGGAGTGTGGAAATTAGGAAGTGTGGGGTTAAAAAAAGTATTAGTCAGAGGGCTGAAGGGGTTGTTGACGTGGTTTGATCATTTAGAGAGAAAAGGATCAAAGTAGAATGACATGGAGAAAATTTAAATCTGTAGGAGAAGGAAGGTGGGGTAGGGGTCGTCCTCGAAAAGGTTGGAAGGGGTAAGGGAGGTTTTGTGGGCGAGGGGCTTTGGGCTTCCAGCAAGCGTGCATGAGCGTGTTAGATAGGAGTGAATGGGGACGAATGATACTTGGGACCTACGATCTGTTGGGGTGTGAGCAGGGTAATATTTAGTGAAGGATTCAGGGAAACCGGTTATTTTCATATAGTCGGACTTGAGTCCTGGGAAATGGGAAGTACAATGGCTGCACTTTAAAGGAGGGGTTTGGGATATTGGCAGTTTGGGGGAATTATGTTGTGTTTTCTTTCTACGTTATGCTTCTAAAAACTGTTGTACTGTCTCGAGCACCTCTGCAAAAAGCAGTGATAATGTGTGGGAAGTGTGGTGGGAAAAGTCGTTGAATGATGATGAGAGTATTTTCTTTTTGGGGATTTTTCTTTCTTTTTTTTGGTTCACCCTTGCTCGGTGGGAGACGACTGACTTGTTGAAAAAAAAAAAAAATATATATATTATATATATACACATACACATAGGTAGTTGATTGGGTTTAGAACAGCAACCACCCAGGGATGGTATTACTGTCTGCAAAAGTGAAGTGTAAAACGAAAGCCTGTTAATTGTTTACATGATGGTAGGATTGCTAGTGTCTTTTTTTCTGTGCTCTTCAACATGCAAGATTTCAGGTATGTTTGCTGCTTTTCTACTTACACTTTTAGGTCACACTACACATACATGTACAAGCATTATATACACACTCCTCTGGGGTTTTCTTCTTTCTTTCCTTGTTCTTGTTTCTTGTTTATTTCCTTTTTCTCCATGGGGCAGTGGAACTGAAAGCTTTCCTCCGTATTAAGCCATGCGTGTTGTAAGAGGTGACTTATAAATGCAGGAGCAAGGGCCTAGTAAACCCTTCTCCTGTATAAATTACTAACATTTAAAAGAAAAACTTTGTTTTTTCTTTTTGGGCCCCACCCTGCCTTGGTGGATACAGCGGTTTGTTGAATAAAAAAATATACATGTATTTTATATATATATAGATATATATTTACACAGGTTATATGAATGCATGTAAGCAAAAGTTCACAGGGAAAGGAGAAGGGGGATTGAGGCTTCGTTTTACTTGTGATTATTTGCTGTTTAGGGATATATATGTATTGTATGTATGTATGTATGTATGTATGTATGTAGTGTATGTATGAAATGTATACATATTTATGTAGGCCCGCACTACACTTCCCTCTTCCAAGGACTCAAATTTAGTTAACTGAATATTTTCCTGTATTTCTTCATAAAACGTACCTTGCTTACACTCCTAACTGGACAGTTCATTAATACAATTGTCTCTATTCATCCCAGTCTAACATGCTCAGACAGCTGTTGAATGCTTAAGCCTCTAACACTCAAAGTCTCCTTTAGCCCCTCCCTCAAACCATTCCTGAAATGATCCCTGCTCCCTTCTACCTCCCACTTCAGAATCATAAACCCTCACCAATAATGGATTACATTATTCAGCATTTGTGTCTCTTACCAATATGTGACTAAATGAAAAAAACGTCCAAGTAACCAAAAACAGTCATAAGTTTCTTTCTCCCATGTGCGGGTTGTGTATTTTACACCTTTTTTCTCCAGCTTGCATCTTGAACCTAGCTTCTCATGCTACTTGAGAGATTCACAGTAAAACCTTCACAATAGTGTGGCTCTGGAGAACATTCACTCACCTTATAACTGACAGGACAGCTCCCGACTGTAGGTCTGAATCTATATTTTCCAGGATTAAGATAGGCAAAAATACTCATCAGAAATCCAGGACCAGTAAATGCCCAAAGCTTTCGGAAACTGAATAATTTCTGCAAAAGAGAAAGCAATGGCAAAGGATAATATTAGAGTATTAAGGGGATACAACTGCATTGCCTCACCTGTCTGCATTATATAAGCTCCTTTTCTGTGCATATGCTTCACTCTTTTCAAGATTGATAAACTGAACACATCAATTTAAGGCTGAGGGACTGATTACCCCAAACTCCTTCTGATCTTCAACCATTCTTCTCTGTAGTGGACTGAGGAAGCAACTGGTCGGCAACAAGTTTCCATAATAAAGATACCCAAGTGTTGCACAAGTGTCTAATATCAGCTTAGTTTAGTATGTGCCATTTTGATAGGTCTTGATTTATTAAAACAGAACCAGAATCATAACCATTTATTAGAACAGAAAAGAATCTTAACCATTTTAGGTTAATTTACGAAAATACTGAGAATACTATAGAATTTATCAGACGTGTGAAAACCACTTACTAAGATTAGAGAGATAAGTTACAGAGATATGCTCTTTATTCTAGTCATTCTTTCTAATGAATATCAGTAGTACCCTGATTAGAGAGATGTTACTGAGATATTTTCTCTTAAATACAAAATAAACCAAAATCTGAAATAGAATTTGTTATGCAGAAATAATTTTGTGTTATTCTCTGTTTTAAATTTCATGGAACCTTTAGGAATGTAGCCCCCCAGAAATCTAAAGATATGACTATACTGCTGTGTATGTAATACAAATACAGTGCCTGTACTCTGGAGGAGCAAGTATGTTGCAGTACAGAGGGGTATTTGAACCATGATGTCTGTGCACTTCCAGCAAAACATTATTGAATGAATGATGGTGAAAGTGATGCCCTTTTTTTATCACTCTACCTTTGTGGGAGGCAGCCAATGTGGTAATAATAAAACTGACAGAGCACAACATAGACCTATGTTATTACTGTACTATATTTCAAAACTTGAATTCATGTAATCAGAGCAATATCCCTGTATGCTTCACATCAGTTTGTCAAACATTATATCACTCACTATGTTACCTCTTCTAAATCATTTGTGGACATTTCTACCACAGTTCTTTTCAGATCATATTTTTTTAAATTTATACAACCTGGATCTATAATCACTCTTGTTCCAAGCTTTATAATATCAATTCAGCAAAATACATTATAATATTAATTAATCTGTATTATTCTCAACCTATGTAAAATTGTCAATTATATCGCAAGCATGTTGCTATCTTAGTCTTTTACACTAAATTCAACAAAGGCACCTCATCTTATAGTTATCATACAGCATTAATAAAAACTTTTAGTATTATTACAATCAGAAGATAAAAAAAAAGAAAAGACAGACCTACTTGGACACAAAACAGCAGAATCAGAGAAACATGCAAGAAACTGTATAGATATAGCATAGGCAGAATAAGGACAAACAAGAATCAAGAGCTTGTAATGTTTTGCTAATATCTAATTTGAAGTAAAAAAAAATGCAAATACATCCACACCTTTACAAACTCCACATTGGTAATACAATGGTAGTGTATACCAACAGCATGTAAATAAGTCACATAGTGGTTTATGGGATTTTATTGTGAAGAAGTTTCCACAACCAGGGATTTTATCAGTTCATGGAGTCCATGGTGAATGAAATGTCTTCACAATAAAATGTTGTAACCTCACTGTGTCTCTTATTTACAAACTAGATGATGTCTTCAAACTAAGTAATATTGATTTTCAGACAAAACATAGCAAAGAAAGCACATATTATACTTCAAACTGTATAAAATTTCTATATAATGAACAGAAATAAAGATTTGTTACTGGGTTTTGCCTTTAGGAATAAAATAGTGATATGAATGAACTAGTAGTGGCAATCTTGTAAGGAGAATAGTACTTAGTGGCAAATTTTATCTGTGATGCTCTGTGACTCTCATCCCTTCAATAGGGGATGCCTTGATGCTAATGAGGGGCTCTTGATCAAAGGAATCAGGGATAACCTCACCTTCCTTGGATCATACCTTATCAAACCCTCTTTCCCCAGACAGCTATAGAACTTCCCTATAATTAAAACAGAGAGTACATACTTATAATGTGACTATGATAACCAAACATAAATGCTTATACAGAACAGCACTATCATTTTTCAATTATCGTAATATATTTTATTCCAACAAAGTAGTAGGTGGGTAGACAGTAACCACCCAGGAAGGTACTACCATCCTGCCAGGTGAGTGTACAACGGAAACCTATTATTGTTTTACATAATAGGAGGATTGCTGGTGTCTTTTTTCTGTCTCATAAACATGTAAGATTTCAGGTACATCTTGCTACTTCTACTCACACTTAGGTCACACTGCACATGCATATATAAGTACATATATACACACCCCTCTGGGTCTTCTATTTTCTTACTAGTTCTTGCTCTTGTTTATTTCCTCTTATCTCTATGGGGAAGTGGAACAGAATTCTTTCTCCGTAAGCCATGCTTGCCATAAGAATCAATTAAAATGCCGGGAGCAAGGGGCTAGTAACCCCTTCTCCTGTATACTTCACTAAATTTAAAAAGAGAAACTTTCATTTTTCTTTTCAGGTCACCCTGCCTCAGTGAGATACGGCCGGGTTGATAAAAAAAAAAATATTCCATTAAAGTATAGGAATGTTTTGCCAATACAATTGAAAAAGTGCATCAAAAATTAAAAGGTGCATACTATTCAGGCCCTTACCTTACAATATTCAATTTTGGATGTATTTTTTCAACCAAATTTACAAAAACTGCAATATATATAGAGGATGTTTATGAGAGAGCTGACTGAACTCTGGCAGACATAGAGAAGAAAAGAGTGCTTACATTTTCAGACTCGGGAATAAGAATCTTCTCATCAGCAAAGTATGTGTCAAAATTTTCTTGAGCAGGAGAAAGCATGGTGTGCTCTGAGAGTGTGGCGGTGCTGTTTGTCGTGCTGGTGGGAGTTGGCGGCCAAGTGGAGCGAGACGGGGTATTAGAGGTCACCTCTGGTGAGCCCGTACTGTTGCTCCCATTATTCACTGGTTCTTTACTGTTGATCATTGCTGCTCCTGCTCTCTGAAAAAGTGACAACAAACAAATACAATACAAATACAAATATAAATTTTTATTTCTTTATGCAGTACAAAATAATGTAGATTACATGTTGCGACTGTTGCTCCCATTGTCCACTGGTTCTTGACTGCTGATCACTGCTGCTCCTGGCAATAAATAAAAATACAATACACACGCAAATTTTTATTTCTTTATGAGGTACAAAATAATATAGTTTACATTTTATAAAACATTGTTAGGCACAAAAGAAAGTCACTAGCATGCAATGCATTCTGGATGCAAATTAATCCTAATGCTTAAAGAATACTTAGGATATAAACACAAACTATCTGGAAGGATTTCTTATGTGGGTTAACAACAATCATATGTACAAAAAGAAAGACAGCTAATGAACAAATGGTACCATTTCAAAATTATTTCAAACTGATTGCATCTCTATTTTTTTTTTAAACCTGGCTGTTAATTTTTTTTTAAATTTCATACTTACTGAGGCCTATCTTATGCTATTTTGATATTGGAATATTTTGAACTTTGTGTTAAATTAGCCAAATTACCAATTTCCGATCACTTTATTTTGTAGTTGAAACAGTTGACTTGGCGATTTCTTGTGCTCAATCGATAGAATAGAAGTAATACTAGTGAAATAGCTAAGAATTTGGTCAACTGGAATGATGTAATTGGCCTAAAATGGGAGTCAAAGTCGGCAAAATCGCCGATTCGTAAATATCGCTTACACATCAAAATTCGCGAGAGCATAATTTCGTCAATTTTCCATCAAATTTTGTACTTTTTGTTTTATTACCTTCACAAAAAGATTCTCTACTATTTCATAAGAAAAAAATAACAAATTTTTTTTGGGAAAATTCTTGGACACTGGGGCACCACTTCAGATTTTGGCCTTGGACCCTGAAGGGGTTAAGATAATTTTTTTTTTTGCAATTTAGAGCAATAATCCTTGAACATTTCAGTATGAAATAAAGACACTACCTATGGCTCAACTCATAATATTTCATGTACTGTTTGTGGGAAAAACTATTCACTATCTGTCTATTAAAAACTGGTAAAAACTTATACAGGTCGGCCATCACTAATCCGGCATCAGTGGGACCTGTAGTATGCCGGATTAGTGAATTTGCCAGATTACAGAGTGGTTAGGTTAGAATATGCTTAATTAACCTATCAATAGAGACTCTTTCTACTATATCTTCCTCATTTTCATAACTGCTTTCTTCTCCACTGGCTTGCTGCTGTGTATTTACAGCCATCTGCACAATTTCTGAGTCAGTATAATGATGAAATTCGAGTCAATATAATGATTTGAGTCAGCATAATGATGAAATTTAAAATTATGCTAGCCAAAATTAGTGCCGGATTACTGATGGAACCGGATAACTGATTGACGGATTAGTGATGGTCGACCTGTACTGTACCAGTACTTAAAAAAAAAAAAAATCCCCCTGAGAAATGAACTTGAAATTATATAATATTATCAAAGAAAATGAAAACTTTACTCCCTGATTTAAAATGCACATAAACCTAAGCTGACTTTATCAGAAGCTTTAAGCTTCCTAATTACAGCCTCTCCTCACTTAACAACAAAGTTCTGTTCCTATGACCATGTCGGTAAACAAATTCATTGCTAAGCAAGGAGCACAGCATAATGGTAGTGGGTTTGTGAGAACCATCTTTGATATTGTTTTAACCCTTTGACTGTTTCGGCCGTATATACGTATACGTCTTACAAGCCAGTGTTTTGGATGTATACATACTCAATAATTCTATCGGCTTCAAATCAAACAGGAGAAAGCTGGTAGGGCCGCATGTGAGAGAATGGGTCTGTGTGGTCAGTGTGCACTGTATAAAAAAATCCTGCAGCACGCAATGCACGAGAAAAAAACTCTGACCGTGTTTTTGGATTAAAACGCCGACTTTGAGGTGTATTTTCCTATAGTATTAATGGTTATATTCTCGTTTTCTTGGTCTCAACTGACAGAATGGAAAACGTATTACAGAAATAGAGATGATTTTTATTAGTTTCACGATGAAAACGACCTTGAAATTGAGCTCAAAGTAACAGAAATATTCGATTTTTACCAATGTTCAAGAGTTAGCAAATCACACCACACATCCAATACATGTCAACTGGGAAATCTAATATTTTTTCACTAGTGCACTGATATTATTTATACCATTTTTACAATAATGCAGTAGTCTGCATAACAGTAAATCTTCTATTTTTTGTGTGAATAAAAAATCAAAATAGAGAGCAAGAGTAATATAAGAGGGGCCTGGAGACATGACTAATAAACAGAGGATATGTTGTTTTAGTGCTAAGAATGTCCGCATCATTTATTCTGGACCCTATTTTGAAACTGGCTTTTTTTTTAATTTGCATGAAATTGGCCAAATTGCCAATTTCTGACAACTTTATTGTTAGTTTAAATTGGTAAATGTGTGATTTCTTGTACTCAATTGATAGAAAAAATGGAGTTCTAAAAAAATAGCTATGAGTTTGATCGACTGGAACAATGGAATTGGCCAAAAATAGGGCTCAAATTCGGCAAAATTGCCGATGCGTATATTTCACCAAGATCACTAACTTGGCGGAAGCGTAATTCCGTAAGTTTTCGATCAAATTTTGTGCTTTTGGTGTCATTACCATCGGGAAAAGACTCCCTATCATTTCACAAGAAAAAATAATTTTTCTTTTCCCAAAAATTTTTCGACACCAGGAGACACTTCAGGATTTGGAGTTGCGACAATCAAAGGGTTACTGTCACTTTTGTACCATTTATAACATTTTAGTGCATTTTTAAATGTTTACACAGTAGTATACTGTATATTGTAATAAACAGAATAGAGGAAATTAGCTCTAATATACATTACGTATTTAGGTATGCATACTGGTCAGAGAGCCTGTCGTAAGTCCAAGTCATCAATAAATCTAATAAATCTAATTAATCACTTCAGTTACCCAAGATATATTAAAATGTACTGCTCCATAACCTGTGTCAATATAGATTAAGAATTAGGATTAGTCTGCCCGAAATGCCTAGGCATGCTTGAGGCCTTCCTTCTAATTAATATTTTATAATATGTAAACCACATATTGTAAGCTTTGCAAGGAAATAAACATTTTCATTTTTCATTTTCATTAAAGGAGTATGTCGCTAAGTGAGGAGAGGCTGTATAAGTTTAAATAATATATTATACATTGAGCAAATCTAATGGCTAACAATTCATTGAAGAGTATTTATTGTGCTGATTATGAGTATAGTGAGTAGGGGTTATACACATACTTGCATGCATGTGTACATGCATGCATGCAGGACAGGAGAGATAGGGGGGACATGATAATGACTTACAAAATACTGAGAGGAATTGACAAGGTGGACAAAGACAGGATGTTCCAGAGATTGGACACAGCAACACGGGGACACAGTTGGAAGTTGAAGACACAGATGAATCACAGGGATGTTAGGAAGTATTTCTTCAGCCACAGAGTAGTCAGGAAGTGGAATAGTTTGGGAAGCGATGTAGTGGAGGCAGGAGCCATACATAGCTTTAAGCAGAGGTACGATGAAGCTCATGGTTCAGGAAGTGACCTAGTAGCGACCAGTGAAGAGGTGGGGCCAGGAGCTTGGACTCGACCCCGGCAACCTCGACTAGGTGAGTACAACTAGGTGAGTACACACACATGTTCACACCCACACACAGACCCACACATACATTCCCACACACACATTCAGACCCCCACACACTCTCCCCCCTGCACCTTCCCTCACATCTCTCACTCCCACCTCTAGATCCCCCTCTCTCTCACCCTCCTTTTCTCCCCCCCTCTCTCCCTCTTTTCCCCTCTCCCATTCTCTCTCCCCCTTTGCTTCTCCCTTCCCCTCTTTCTCCCCATATTCCCCCCTCTTTCAACCTCCCAACCTCTTTCCCATTTTGCCACTGGCTCCTTGAATTTAACCCCACCAAATGCAGTCATAAAGATCAGGGAAGGGCAAAGAAGACCGCAGACAGAGTATAGTCTAGGTGGCAAAAGACTGCAAACTTCACTCAAGGAAAAAGATCTTGTGGTGAGTATAATAACAAGCTCATCTCCTGAGGCACACATCAACGAGATAACTGCTGCAGCATATGGACACCTGGCAAACCTGAGAATAGCGTTCCGATACCTCAATAAGGAATCATTCAAGACTCTGTATATCATGTACGTCAGGCCCATATTGGAGTATGCAGCACCAGTTTAGAATCCACACCTGGTCAAGCACATCAAGAAATTAGAGAAAGTGCAAACACTGAAGAAAGGTTAAGGGATATCGGCCTGAGGACACTGGAGGAATGGAGGGTTAGGGGGGACATGATAACGACTTATAAAATACTGCGAGGAACTGACAAGGTGGACAAAGACAGGATGTTCCAAAGATGGGACACAGAAACAAGGGGTCATGATTGGATGTTGAAGACTCCAATGAGTCAAAGGGATGTTAGGAAGTATTTCTTCAGTCATAGAGTTGTCAGGAAGTGGAATAGCCTAGAAAGTGATGTAGTGGAGGCAGGAACGATACATAGTTTTAAGACAAGGTTTGATAAAGCTCATGAGGCAGGGAGAGAGAGGACGTAGTAGCGATCAGTGAAGAGGTGGGGCCAGGAGCTATGACACGACCCCTGCAACCACAAATAGGTGAGTACACACACATATACACACACACACACACACACACACACACACACACACACACACACACACACACACACACACACACACACACACACACACACACATAGACTCTTGAGGTGTCCCTGTTTGCAGATGACGTGAAGTTGATGAGAAGAATTCACTCGATCGAAGACCAGGCAGAACTACAAAGGGATCTGAACAGGCTGCAGACCTGGTCCAGCAATTGGCTCCTGGAGTTCAATCCCACCAAGTGCAAAGTCATGAAGATTGGGGAAGGGCAAAGAAGACCGCAGATGGAGTACAGTCTAGGGGGCCA